TAGTCACATATTTAAAAATTATACTTCTCTAAACTACAAATTAAATTCAAACTCTTTAACAGCTTTCAATAATATACTTCAAGGCTTTTTTGGGACTTTTAATAATAAATAATGTCTAAGTTTTTATAAACTTTTTTTATTAAGCTTGTAACACCAAAGTAACATCGAAACTCATATTAGCTTCATGCCTACTATAATTTAGGATTTTTTTTTATTTTCAAGATATTTCATCATAACACACCCTTTTGCCCGTTGAAAGTAACGTAAAATTTTCAATTCTTTTTCCACCATTATATCTTTTATATAATAAGAACATACGTATATCACATTTTATTTATTACTCAGGCACTATTATACCTTTCTCATAGAGTAGCAAAGCCTTTACACAATTCTAACTTTTCATTATTGATTTCATCACTAATAATAGATGTCTTTTTCTAAAATATTTCCTCGTCAATATGTAATGTATGTAATCCTTATATTAAGAGATATTATGTAAGATTAATGTAAATCTCAAAATTTATTATATAAAATTTTCATATAAGAAATACACATGTCCATGTCAAACATGATTTCACACATCTCCTCTACTCTTTGCATGTAAATTCTTCCTTATTGAGGTGATTTAATCTTGAAAAATTCTCATTTTTAATTCACAATCCCCACATTAGGATATATGTTTAATTTCTCAATTATTTGAGATGTTTTCCCCAAGTTTTCTCAAAATACATGAAATATCCAAATTTGAAATAAAATGATGTTATTGAGTGTGGAAAAATTCCATATCAAGTATATAACAAAGAAGTATATTTAATATAAGAAGCGCTACTCCACCGATTTAGGTTGAATACTAGTTTTGGGCAAAAGGTACCCGTTTGCCCTTTAACTTTTTGATTTTGAGGGTTTTTACCCTCCATATTACAATACATGGATTTTTGCCCTCCATATTTTCAAGTTTGAGGAAATTAGGCAAAATTTAACGCCAGAGCGTCACGTGTAGCACGTGCATCGTTGGCCTCCGTTAAGTGTGCACATGTCAGCGCCACCTCAGACTTTTTTGACAACTTGGCATGCCAACTTGGAACCACATGAGCGGGAAATCTACCTGTTACCAATTTTATTTATGGGCCCCACTACTAACTAAAGGTTTTAAAAAAAAGGTTAAATCCTCAATTCAGTCTCTTAACTTTCATTTTTAAACTAAATTTACCCTCAAACTTCAAAATATTGTGACTTG